GGATTCCACATAGGAGTTCCGAATTAGAACCCCAACCACCACCAGGTGTAACGAAAGTTTACACTGATGGCTCCAGAAGAGTGGAAAAGTGGCTGGTGGTTTCTTTATTGAAGGATTTGGTATTAAATCATCCTTCAGACTAACTAACTACGGTAGTGTTCTTCAGGCGGAAATGTCTGCTATTAAACGAGCAGCGAATTGGATAAGGTATTATCGCATATCGGGTGATATATGTATATATACTGATAGTAAAGCTGCTATCAAAAACATAGCGGATGTCTGAAGAATATCCTATGCTTTATAAATGAAACCGGTTGGTTTAGTTCTGCAAGCAGAGAGTGACATTAGAACACACTTCTTGCGACCACAAGGGTAACACACGGGACCAACTTAATGGACCCAAGTGAGCTGCTTTTCTTACAGCTGCCCTCGATCAATTGTTTAGACAACATTGTCATAACGATGCTATAACGCTAATAAATGCTGTCTGCACCTGCTAATTTTTTATCATGATAGCAATTTGACGTTTAAAAATGTATCTAATATAGACATCGGGTTGTGATGAATATTTGTCTAATATAGACACGTCTAATTTTATTCCGTAGGAACTAAAATTAACTACACTGAAGGAAAAATGCAATCTTAAATTTTGCGTTTTTGTTTTAAAAATGCAGCATTTTTTGAGAAATTAAAAAAAATGATTTTAATAATATTAAGATATAACATTGTTCTTTATATAAAAAGGCAACAAAAAAACTTTTTTAATTCAAAAATGCACTTTTTTGATTTGAAAATCAAAAAAACGTTTTAAAACGTTTACGATTTATATTTTTTATTATTACAATGAATTAAAAATGAGACGCATTTGAATCAAAAATTTTCATTTTTGTTTTATAGATAAAAACTATTTCGTAAAAAAGTTAAAATTGAAATTGTTTTCTTATTAAATTAAAATCAAATATTTTAATTTCTAATATTTGACCACATCCTTTTTCGAAAGTTTAAATTAAAACTAAAACGTTTTTTCTCTTGCAATAGAAAGCATACGGAATGATTTTCTGAAAGATTTTAAGTTTTTTGTTAAATGTAATGTGTTTTTAAAGTGAAATTAAAATGAAAAATATCAAAGAATGTTATAAATACAAAAAATACAACATAAAAAGATAAATAGAAGCATAAAAACTCTAAGAGTGGGTTTTTGAGTTGGCAATCAAATGCCAATTAATAATCAGATTAGTTAATTAAAAAATAAATTTAATCCAATGTTAATCCCCTTTGATGTTTTTGAGTACAAACTTAAACTTCGCAGTGTTGCCATAGAAAATAACAAAAAACGTCACTGTTTGCTATCAAAACAATACATGTTTCATAATTAAAGAAGAGGACAATTGTAAATTTAATATGAAAAATATTGAAAACTTAAATTTAATACAAAAAAATGTATTTTAAAGTCACCATAATCTAATCAATAAATCAAAGATTTTAATGTTTTTTAATAAAAAATTTATTAATTTTTATGTATCAGCTGTTTATACCCCGTTTACATGATAAAATTATTCGTAATACACGCTCTCATTCATCATTCAACCCCCAATTACATACATAATGACATGATTGGCCATACCAAATTTACTGCGAATTACACAAGAATTACGAATGAATGAGTGTCATCTTTAATTTTTATCGGGTATTTTTCATAATCAGCTGTTTTGTTTTCATTGGTTGGAGACAAAAAAAATAAAATTAACTTAAACAGTTGTAATAATGTAATAAACTTATTTTTGTATCATATACACACAAATATTCCAAAAAATTACGAAATAATGAATTACGAATGTGTCGTAGAAAAGGGTTAATTGCCTATTGTCATTTGGAGGCTGAATTAAGTAATTCAAATGCTACGTGAGAACTTGGTATAATTCGCAGCTGAAATTTTGTATGGCCAATCATGACATTCAGTATGTAATTGGGGGTTAAATGATGAATGAGAGCACAAAGTATACAGAGGTGTCACTTTTGACATTTAAAAAGGGCTAAAATCAGCTTTTGTTTGATTTTGAAATTGTTTGGTGAGAAGAGGTATAGTATTTAAAATACAGCTAAAAAATCATTGAAATCCTTTTGTGCGAAAGAGAGGCAAATAGTTTTTTGCTCGTGACCAGGCCTGCCAGATTTGCCGATTTATCCGCATATTGCCGATAATTTACCTTCCAAATTGGAAAGTGCCGATTTCCCGATTTTTGCTTCAAAATGCCGATTTTTTACCCAATCGAACAAATTAACGAATTTATTATAACTTTACATAAGCAAAAATTACATGGAGCTTTTAAAACAATTGGGAAAGGAAAATTTACAGTACGGTAGAACACAATTTGCTCCATCACCAATGTCAATTGGATCGATTATGAAAAGGAAACACAATTTATGTATGAAAATCCTAAATAGGTTCTAAAAGTCTGATCTAAGGGTGCTAAAGTTTTAAAATTTTTAAGAAATTTTTTATGGTTCGATAATAAATTTACATATTTTTGTGGAAAAGTTAAAAATCTGGAGAAAATTTCCCATTATAAAAATGTACTCAGCAAAATCTTTACCTATCCAGTTTTTGTTCGACGATAACCAATAACAAATGTGATAACCCCACTTTCTTGGATTTAAAATCGGCTTTGCACTAATTTTCTGTGTTTATTAATCTATTCTATTTGATTGTGCAATTTGGAATGGTTTTAACAAAAATTTAAAAAACAATATTTTTTCAAAAAACTTCTATTATTGACTAGGATTAGAACCATTAACTAATTCCACATTAGACACACGCTCTAGACAATTGGTTACAAATCCTATTGTAAAAATTAATTAATATTGTTGATAACGATCACTCACTGTCAAGTAATGTATGAAATAACTGCATCACTCATAACCAAAATTTGAAAATTTTTTACAGGGTAAATGTATAGTAATCCACAAATAATTATGCATTTACATTTTTCTGCAAAAGTGACACAAATTCTAATAGATTTTATTCCAGTAAACCAAAGTTTCGGTGTACCCTTACAAAGAGTTCTTTTATTAGACCTATTCTGAATAAAAATTCCCTGAGTTATGCATGTATGTACAACAATATTGTGATTTTTTAATTTATTTGAAACATAAGTTTCTTTGGTACAAAATAGTGTTTCTTTCAATTGTCGATTTATTGCCGATTTTTAAAATGTAAGTGCCGATAAATGCCGATTTTTTGGGAAAAAAATTGCCGATATTTCTACAAATTTATCTGGTAGCCCTGCTCGTGACGCCTCTGTATACCCTGTGACCGAATTAAGTGATTCAACTGTTCGTGTGAACTTGATATTACACTTTTGCGTTTTTTGCTCAAGTTTAAACCACCTCCATTGGGCGCTCAAACTAGCAATCAAACATAATTAACTGAGTACTCAAAAACAACTTCCGAGGATTAATTTTAATTTAATCCTTAACCGTGTACCTAAAGATTGGACCTTAGAAAGGGATTTTGTGTTGACAATTAAATGCTAATTAATAATCAGATTAGTTAATCTAAAAATAAATTTAATCTAATGTTAATCCCCTTTGATGTTTTTGAGTACAAAGTTAAACTTCGCATTGTTACCATACAAAGCAACTGAAAACAAAACGTGCTATCAAAACAATGCCTGTTTTATAAATAAGAAGAAGACTATTGGAAGTGTAACGCGAAAATTAACGAACACTTCAATTTGTCAAGTTTTTCTTAATGAAATAATGTCCAGGTAAGAGCTTTTTAAAATCTAATCAACATTAAAAAAATTTCTTATAATATAATAACTGTACTCAAAATACGTATTCTTCTTTTTTATAAAACATGCATTGTTTTGATAGCAAACAGTGAAGTCTTCCGCTCTTAAAATATTTTGGAAATTCAAGGTAGATTTTGACAGGGGTAACCAAAGTAAATTAATAAAGTAGCGACACGAGTTGTTGTACAACAAACGTCTACAAAAACCACAGGCAATTTGTTTTTGTTCGAAATACTCACTTGTCAAAATTTGTTTACAAAAATGAACCAATAATTAATGGAAAATATGGCATTATTGTTGTACTTTCCAAAAATATGTGGTTATTTATATTAAAAGTCACAGAGTTTTCTTTATTTTTTCAAAATTAGAACATTTTAAAAAATACTTAAAATACACCTTTTCACATTAAATACAACAAATTACTCAGAAATTTGTACAAAAGCAAGCGTTAAAATGAAAACAAATATGGCAACATATTTCGGTCTAGTGTGTATGCATTAGGGTGATCGACTCGATTTTTCAACCGGTTTTAAAACCGGTTTTTTCTGCTTTACCAGTTTCTGAATTTGAAAAATATCAACCGGTTTTTTTGAAATGTCAACTATTCGAACTATTCGAAAACCGGTTTTTGGAAAATGTCGAATAATTGATCACCCTAGTATGCATCATATATTACGCAAGGTCAATTTATCCCTCCTATGACTATGTACTTCCATGTACCTAACGAATCAATTACAACTTTAGATATGTATATGTTAGCTTTCTTATGATATATTACTATACATATCTATACTAAAAAGTGCAAATATCTTATTAAGTAATTCATAATATTTCTCAAAATGTCTTCTTCCAACTAAATATTAGTATATCTTAATGATTTCCACACATTTCGGTTAACCGGTGTACCCCTTTTTTACTACAGGTTAACCGACGAATCGGTTTTCTAGAAATGGCCAATTTTCGGTTAACCAAAAGTCGGTTTTTTATAAACACTAGAGTATTCCTTGGAATAATTTTAAAACATATTTTTGAAATGTCAAAATTTTTGTGAAAAAGAAAAAAGCGGTAAATTTTTCCCAATTCTATGATATTTTTTTTTTTTTCATTTTATTTATTCATTATTGAATCTTTATGTAAAAATTTACAATGATTATTAAAATCTTAACCTAAACTATGACTAACGTTGTTACTGCCACTGATAATTAATCGAACTATGACTAACGTTGTTTCTGCCAATGATAATTAATAGAATTCTTCCACGAAATTTTATTATCCGATTTGGTTGAAATCTTTTACTAGTTAATTTTGGATCCGATGGAATGAAATTATACTTAACAAAGACAATTTACCTTTTCAGTGGCAGGACTAATAAGAAAAGCATTAAAATATCAAAAGGAATATATGTTTGGGAACTTTAGAAATACTTTGTAAATATGTATTTAAGGATCATATATGGATATATAAAAATGGGATCATAGTTGTTGTTGTAACAGCTTAAACTATACAATTTTTAATCCGGGGTTATGTATTTAGGTCCAAACCAAGAAATTGGGCTACTTCAGTAGGGTGAGTCCATAAAAGTAGGGTGGGCTGGACAGTTGAATATGTGGTAGGTATCATGGGGACCCTGTCCACATGCTGGGCATATATTGGGGACGGCACGGTCTATGCGGGACCAGTAGGCGTTGAGCCTGTTGCTCCATCCCGATCTCAGTTGTGCCAGAGCAACTCTTGTTTTTCGCGGCAGGTTCTTCTCTATTTCTGCTATGAGCGGTGGGCGACCTCCAAGAACGACATTCATGCGGTATTGATGGTGTTTCTATGAATGTCGTTCAAAGCTGCTGTATACGAATTCCGATCTAAGGGATCCTGAACATAACTTCGTATGCTCTCCTTGTATACACGAAGGGCCTTACTGACATGCTTCGTGGGAACATCCAACTGTGTGATGTTAAAGTTGGGATGACTCCTCCGGTGACATCCCAGGAGGAACTGTTTAGTTAGCATGACATTATGTTCCTTGACTGGGAGGACCTTAGTTGGTGCCCTGAGGTTATTTGCATGCAGCTCATTACAGTCCGTAGGGCAGCATTTTGGCAGCTCTGAATATTTATATAAGCCAATTTTTATTTTACTCGCTTCTACATTAAGTTTTCTTTCCGATTCATATAAAATTTGTATATAGTCCCGAATAAAATTACTTTCTATAGAAGAAAGAATATATGGACTTTTTGGGAAAAAACCTAAAAATACGGCACTTTTTACATGTTGCAACTTTTTTCAGAAAACTATACGACCCTCCGTAGGTCGTAGGTTAAAAAACTAAAAATAGATCGAGAAAATTTAAGAATAAAATAATCTCTTAAAGCAAAAGAGATAACTCCACATTGTAGGTCTTCTCAAGGAGTAGTTATATTTTAAATTTCAACTAATTCTGATCATAAATGGATTTTTCGCGAGTTTTTTTAAATAGTTTCAGATTCCGAATTATTTCCAAAAATAAATGTTTCTATACCACTGTGTGGTGGAGACCATAAAATACGATATAACATGATGGAGACAACTTAAACTCAAATATATTCTGGTGGAGAGCATTAAAACTCTAAAACTTATTTCTGATGGATATCATATAATACTTTTGATATTTAGTTCGGTGCTCGTACTTCCCATATGTTACAGATCGGTTGGTGTGGTTTCTCCGGACAAACAATTGACAACCTGGCAATATAAGTGCTTCATGTATGGCCATCCTAATTAGAACCCAAGAGAAATTTTAGTCTCAAGAAAAAAATAAAGCAAAATAAAAAAAACTATTAAAAGTAAACAATTTTTAAACAAAAAAATATACTTTTAATCAATGTACATAAAATTATTTTACAGATGTACATTCTTGTGGTTAGGTTGATTCATTTAAAAGTATAAGTATAAAGTATATACATACATACATACATACATACATACATACATACATACATACATACATACATATGTATTTATAAAACTACTTTATTATTCATTTATGGGAAAATATTTGGAGAAATTCATGGATACCTTGTAATCACTATATTTGAAGTATTTATATTATTATTGTGATACCATACACCATTCTCGGGACGAACCTCATCCAAACCGTTTACTTCTGATTCCCCTTTTTCTGCATTTTCTACATCAGACTCACTCATATATTTTGGTGTTGTTATTCCAAAAAAGCTAGCCAATCCTTCGCCTACATAGTCTATTCCGTTTAGAAAACGGCTACCCATTTGATATGCCTGATATTTTATGCGAGGTCCTAAAGGTAGCGATGCCTTTATAGAATAGCCATATTAAATGAATGTATATGCATAGCATATTTACAATTACTTACGATATCAATGTTGACATTCATACTTTTGTCTGTTATATCAGGTCCAATATCTTCTCCATCGCTCTCGGAAAGCTCTTCCATAATCCCATCGCTGAAGTACAATACTCGTCTAGACTTTTGTAATTCAACTGCCGTAATGCTATCACATTCAGTCTTTTCATCACTATTGCTACTTGCATCCATTGCGTTACTCATCGTAATAACTATTACATTAATTTTATTTATGGATTGATTTAAAGCTATTCATAGTAATTTATTTAAAAAAATCAATTTCGCCTAAACCTTGGTTGACCATTTGTTTACAATTGTTTGAAATCTGTACCACAAAGTGTGTTTACTTTGGTTTGTTTTGTATTGTATTGAAAGTTACAATCAGTGTTGCCACAACAAAATTTTTTTTCTAACCAAAATTCAAATAAAAAATTACCAAATTAAGAAAAAAGTAAACAAAATTATTTTTATTTGTTTCATGTTTACATTTGGGTATGAACATTAAAATAATAAATTCATTTTTTGAAGTGGAACTTGTAACTATAGTTGTGTTTTGTTGCTATCAATGAGTGTTAACGCTTAAAGTTAGCAACAAAACGAACATTACCTGACTTGGCATCACTCCACAGAAGAAATCTGCTAAATCTTGAAATTATTTACAATTTCTTGAAAAGGTTTTTTTATTTGGTAATTTTCTTTGATTTAAATTTTATTTTAAAATATTTTTTTATTGTTTGACATAAACACATTAATATTTGTATTTTTATTTTTGAATTGGTAGCACTTTTATCAACGTTAAAATTAACTTGTATAATTTTACACGTTAACTCCTAACGTTTATAAATTTTAAATTTATATGAAATTGTCTTTGAACGTTAGCAACAAAACACAACTTATGTTAAATTTCGTCGCTAAACTGATGTTATGAAGATAGTTATGAGCGTTAAAGTAATTTTCTGTAGGGGATCTTATAGAGACGTATGATCAATTATGAACCGATTCTCATAAAATCTGATAGAGATAGAGAGTACCTTTAAAACTTGATTATGATGAATTTTGTTGCTATATTGCAGTACATTATGAGCTTTAAAGTAATTTTGTGAGGAGACTTTTTTATGGGATAGAGTAGAGTATATACCGATCCTCATAAACTTTGACAAAAATATTTAAAATAAAACTTGTTTATATTGAATTCCATCGCTATACATGCCTTTTTAAGCCAGTTACTAGCAATATAGTCATTTTCTGAATAGGGCATAGTATGGGGGCTAGGTGAAATCGTTGACCGATATTTCGCATTTTCAATGCCAAACAAATTGAATGAACTAAAAATATTTTGGCAAAATATTTCAGTTTTCTGTCTTGTTTCCTTTCGACTCTATCGTGTTTTCAACAATAAATATATGTCTCTTCGTGGATACGTTAACTAATGTTATAAATATTTATTTTGAAAAATAACTGAATTTTTAACGCGTTTTAGCGCAATTCAAAAATGCTCCACATAGGACTTTTTGGAAAACAGTTTTAAATTAAAAAACCTTTCCCATTTTATGTACAGATTTGGAGATTTCGTTCGAAATTTGGGTTTAATGGGTATATTTGACCAATTATAATACCATGTAGCGGATGTTAGCATTACATCCATAACATCAGCGATATATTTACAAATTTTGTAAACGTAATCTATACAAATTATCGGACAAATTGACCAAAATTTAGAATTTAAGACGGTAAAATAAAAACTAGTACAACAACATCTAGAAAATCTAAATAAAGAACTAAAAGTTCAGAGTTTTGAAAAATGGATATTTGAAATAAAAATAGAAAATAATCAAATACTTTTATTTTCATATTTTAATATAAAAATACAAAATAGATCATGTTCAATTTCTTTGAAATAAAAAAATATAAATATCTATTTTCAAAATATTTTACTCAAATAAAATAAGCTTTTTATGGTTCAAATGAATGAAAATGTAAACAAAAGCAAATTGCTACACGAAAATAAGATTTGATACGGAATTTTAAACAGCTAAATGGAAATTACCATAACTCTATCAGAAATTACCCTTAGGATACACGAGACTTTTGGTCCATTTTTTAAGCTGAACGTACACAAAACGCTTTGAAGCGGCAACGTATTTCACGCTTTAAAAACCTTTCGGACTTTATAAGCTGCAAATTACACATCACGCGTCATTAGGTTAGGTATTTTTTTTGACATAAGCCTACAACGCGTTACCGCGTGCAGCTCGATGCTTTGCGATGCGCGTACAGCGCGATGCCCTGTGCCAACCTCCATTTAGCTTTCTAAAATTTAGCAAATTGCTTATTTTTCCAACAAAATTTCCAAGAATATTTTGTATTTTACAAATACAAAATAAGTATTTGAAACAATTTAAATTAAATATTAAATATTATTTGAGGAAAAAAATTTTAATTCAAAATAAAATACATATTTTCTGTTTTTATTTTCATTTTAAATAAATTTATTTAAAACAAGTCACAACTCTGTAAAAGTCACGGGGGGTAGTAGAAGTCAAAGATCATGAGTATCAAATCTTTGCATATATCGCGGTTATTGTTCGTCGTACGAGTTTAGGTTATTATTACAACAAGATAATACAATTTCATTTTCCTTAGCTGTGTTACTTAATAATATCAATTAGATTAATATTTTAAAGATATTGTGATACTATTCTTGCATTAATTAGCAGAAAATTCTTTATTATTTCTTATTAAATCATTTATCTTAGAATTTCGACTAATTAGCACAGTATCTGTTTATGCAAAATTTCAAATAGCTATAGAAGTTGTAATTATACTTTAAATTTAATAATCTACTAAGTACGTAGACTATTCCCACTAAATTTCATAAAAATCAAAATACAGCCTACTTCGTTTATTCATATAAGTACCGCGAGTTCTTTACATAAAAAGTTCCAATAGAAATATTAACGGAAGGACGGAAGAGATTGAATTGACCCAAAAAGTGATTTTAAGTTCATGGATGCACCAAAAGGAGATGTTAAATTGGCTAGTGTAAATAAAATAATACGGTTTTGTTATGATTTAAATCAACGCATTTAATATGGGGAAAACGCATAGGTAGTTTTGCTAAATCCTAAACCAATTAACATATCGAAAAATACCTTAGTGCATATAAGTATAAACAGTGGATGTACAAATTGCAGTAAAAAAAATTTCGAATAGTAAAAAAATTCCACATATTACCAAAATTCAAAACAGGGACGATATATTTTATTTTTAGAATAAAAGGAAACAGCGTTTAGTTCAATTATTTGCCAAAAAAAATAACCAAAACGAAAAAATAATTCACATGTACACATGATAAATAAAAATAACCAATTTTGGTTAATAATAACCAAAATATTCATAAAGATTGCCAGTGGTAGGAACATAACTCGTTCTTAAAACTCTTTAGTTTTACAATTTTATTATTATACATAAAACTTTTCCTGTTATTGTTTGATTTAAAAATATTAAATTTTTCATTATAAAAAAATTTCTTAAACAATAAACATTAATATTAAAATATAAAAAATTTAATAATTGTTTCTACACCAGGAGCATCAGATGAAAGGCCAAATCGAACTTTAAAAAACGTCATAAAAGGAAAACGGTTAGAAAAGGGTCGGGCATTCCCCTTACATTTTTTATATCATAATCCAATGAATGGCGCTAGATCCAAAAATACAACTTGTCACGGAATATGTTTAAATGTATGCATGTACCTTAGAGTGGGTCGGTCTCTTTGGACAAAAAAAGTTGTGTCAGTCACCGCCTAGTTTAGTTAAGGCCCAAATAGACTACACAAGCGGCTTGACAAACATACCTATATTTTACGTTTGTGCAAGCCTGTTGTGTAGTGTATGAGGTTTACACTGTCAACGCTCCATTGACTTAGTGAATTGAGTGCTGTTTCCAGTCTTTGTGATATCGTGTTCAGATGGAACCCTGATACTGCTACTGCAACGTCATCCGAGTATGCAACAGTCTTATATCTTTGGGTGTCCAATTTCCTGAGTAGGCTGTTTATGGCTACATTTCATAAAAGTGGTCATAGGACTCCACCTTAAGGTGTACCCCTAATTGCCATTCTTTGGATACATGCCATTCCCATTTATTTATTTATTTATTTATTTTTATTTAGTCTATGGAAATTATCCTTACAGACTGAGTATTAAATAAATTATACAATTTTCTTAATGTAAAGACTATTAATTGTTCAACTTTAAAATAATATTTCGTTTTATATAATCAACATTTAAATTGAAATCTATAAAGTTAAACATTTCGTTAAAATTACAACATAATCTCCTAAACGGATCTGACATTTCATAATTTGTTCGAAAAGTTTTAACATAAAGTGGGTTATTAAATCGTAATGTGCGTTGGGGAACATTTAATAATATCTTACTTAAAAGAAAATCGGATGATAGATTTCCATTTAAAAGATTTAAAAGAAATGAAACATTTAGCATAATTCTTCGGCTTTTTAATGTTGGCAATCGAATTAAAGCAAGTCGTGAAGAATATGATGGAAGCGTAGAATATCCTCGATATACATCTCTTAAACAAAATAGCAAAAATTGTTTTTGGACAGATTCGATACGATCAATGTAAATATTATAATAGGGGTCCCACACAATTGAGCCATATTCTAAAATTGGTCTTACCAGTGACGTAAATAATGTTTTAGTGATGAAGGGATCATTAAATTCCTTTGCCCATCGTTTAATAAAAGCTAAGATTCCTCGAGCTTTGTTAACAGTCATCGTAATATGTTGTATGAAGTTTAATTACTTTTACCGACTCTAGTTTATAACCACCGATGTAGTAGTGATCAAAAGTATCGCACCTTCTCGAAAAAGTCATGTGCTTGCATTTTTCCAGATTTAGTTCCATTAAATTATGGTTGCACCATTTATAAAAATTATACAAATCCTTTTGAAGATAAATATGGTCTGGTGAATGTTTGAGGCTTAAAAATATTTTGACATCATCTGCGAACATAAGTACATGTGAATATTTTATTGCTTCTGGCAAATCATTGATGAAAAGTAAAAATAAAATAGGGCCTAGGTGACTTCCCTGCGGAACACCGGATTTTACCAAAATATTTCTCGATATTGTAGAATTGAATTTTACGGACTGTGTTCTGCATAAAAGATATGACGTTAGCCAGCTTATATAAGTATTATCGAAACCCATTGTATCCAGTTTTTTTAGCAGAAGTTTATGATTAACTTTGTCAAACGCTTTACTAAAATCAGTATAAATGACATCAGTATGTTGACCAATAGTGAATCCTTCATTAACCAATGTTGATAATTGTAGAATATTAGTCATTGC